TTCTTTACTGCGAAAACGTCTTTAGTTTAAATAATTGTCTTTTTAAAAATAGTAAGTTTTCCAAAAAGTGCATATTGCATATCTTTCCTGTGGGTTCAATATTCAGGTCTTAATCAAAAAGTCCTATATTACTTGATAACGATATGTATACTTGCGTAGTATCCCAATGTATATAAACTAAAAGTTAAATTCCTATTTTTCTTCAGGATCAAGTTTTTGGTTTTGTTGCGAAATAAGGAAATATAAGTGAAAAATATAATCAAAATTATTGTTATGCTTTTGCATATAAGCAGTTTCGGGATCTGAGTACTAGAGTTTGTACATTGGTGGGTCGCCATGCATGAAATTTACTTACATTGACTATGAATGGGTTGGGGAGTTGCTTGCGGGGCACCCAACACGATTTATCAATATATTTTGGATGCAGTAGGAAGTACTCATCGATCTAATGCAAGAGCTCATAGGAGCTCACAAACTTCAAAGATCTACTAGGACTACTCCACATGAAGTGCTCGCAATAACACTGTACGTATAATCCCAAAATGAGTCAATACGAGGGGCTATGAAGCGATTTCAACACTCATCGAAAACAATTAGAAGTTACTTCTCAATTGGATTGAGCACACTTGTGAGTCTTTCCTCACATGTCATCAAACCCTTGGATCCAAAGTTCAAACGGGCACCTGCTGAGATATCACATGATGTGCAATATAGGCCCTTCTACAAGGAAATGCCTTAAGAGTAATATAGTTTTTTTGTTGAAGATGCAATGTTATTTATTACCTAACTTTCGTGTTACTAGGACTGTATCAGCGCAATTGATGGAACAAATGTTGATGCACGAGTCCCTGACAATGATAAGGTTGCATTTGTTTATCGTTGTGGTAGTCTGACCAAGAATATTATGATCGTTTGCGACTTTAACATGTGCTTCACTTTCATTACAGCTAGTTGGGAGGGCAGCACACATGACAGTTAAGTTTTCAAATCTGTGACGAGGAACACTAGTAATAGTTTTCCACATCCACTTGCAGTTTAGCTCGAGTATGAGCTATTATAATACTTAACTTTAAGCTTTATTTTACTTACACTTTTTATCAGACAAATATTACTTGTTCGATGCTAGATGTCCATTTTAACAACCGTACGTAAAGCCATTCATTGACACAAGGTATCACATACAAGACTTTGAATGTACAAGCAACGTTACACAAGGCAGAAAAGAAATGTTTGATAAACAACATTCATTATTGCGTGTTGTGATTGAAAGAACATTCGATGTGTGGAAAAAGAAGTGGTGATATTGTGTGATATGCCTCCTTACAAGTTCCCTAGTAAGTGTAGATTGTGTTTGCTATGATGACTCTCTACAATTATATTCGAAGAATCATTAACGTTCCTACATCGACTTCCATTTGGCGAACGAAGATCAAGAACATGTACCTGTTGAAGCTTTTGAGTGCCGTGTAGGACAGTCTTTGCCAGAACGGAACAATGAGAATTTGACCACTTGTACTTTAGGCGGGAAAGGTCTAAGTGAGATGACAAAGTTGAGGGACCTGATTACTGACGACATAGTACATGGAGCAGGACAATGAGGTTTCCACTAATACCGTCTCCAAACACATCTTTAGTAAACATGGGAAATCATAGTTGTGAAAGATTGCGAGCGAAACATTGCAACTAGTAAAACATGAACTTTCTTGCCATTGCATTTGAAAAATTTTGCTAAATTCTGACAGAATGTTAGCCTATTTGCTTTCAGATTGATTATTTGTGAGAAAGCAACTCTTTATGTCACATGAATGATGAGAAATTCTTTTGTTGTTTATGTTTAGTCATAGTAATGAATGGGGCATATTTACTCTAGGAAATGTAGTAATTTAGTCCTTCCTTTTATTTTTCTTAAATTATTGTGGTTATATTTTGCTCCATGAATGATAAGGTGGAAATCATTAGCTCAAGCTGTTGTATAAGAAAATGAGCTTCACAGTAAGAGTCCCAGTTGCAATTGTCATTGCTAGCTGGGTTCTTTCTACTCTTTGTCATATATGCTCCATACCGTTTTGGAATAGCTGAACAAGGAAAAGCAAGATAATTTTGTTTGAATTTTTTATTTTGCTTTTATTTGTGATGAAATTGTATCTAATATTCATAGTTTTGATTTCTGCAGACATTTGTTTATTGAGGCCATACCAACATTTGTATCTAATATTCTTTCGACTGCATTTCTCAAAGCCGTTTTTTAATGACTATAGAAATTTGTCTTATTTTTCTCAACCTTGGGGGAAACCACTCATTTCAACTGGCTTTTAAGGAGTGGTGTGCAGCATTTCTTATTGTTTTATGGCTTCTTCCTTGGCGATGTTGTTTATTCTATTTATGTTTTTATCAGTTTGATAAATAGGAATTCTGAGGACGAACAAAAAAGAAAACTTCTTCAATAAAGTTTGCTTTGCGATGCGTTAATCATTTTTATTTTTATATTTTAATTCTTCATCAAGTGTGATAGTAGAAGTAGTTTGAGATGGACAATTTTCATTTTCAAGTATGAGATCTACCATCAGGTTGTCATCAGATCCATTCCGTTCAAGAGCAGGCCATGAACTTACCTTTCTGTTCTTGCTGCTCAATCTTCTCGTATATGTGAGCTGAATCTTTTCTCTCTTTTTTCGTCTGCTTCTTTGCTTTGTGTGGGTGTAATTTCTATTGTCAACTTGTTTAGGGATTGTGTAAATAATTGTGGGGATGTTGAAGAACAGTTTTGGGGTGTGGAGTGCTGCTGTTCTTATCTTGTTTCATTTGGTTGTTTATGTTGCATTAAAAATGAAACATGAGCATTTACAAACATATTACCTAATTCTTATGTATTTAGATATCTAACATGAAAATTCTACTTTTTAACATTTATAACGCCCAAATCAATTTTAAATTACAGACCTTTTTGTTCATATGCAAGGTGGCATGTGTGTAAAAATTTAAGTTTTGGTGGAGATATGTAAATACAAAGTATTGCTTCTTTTCATTTTTCTTTTTTTTTGTTTGCTTTATTTGTGATTCATTGCATATTCTTTATTATTTTTTCCTGAAAATGAAATTTCTTTTTGTGAGATCTACAAGTGATTTGGTTTTTTTTGCACAAAATTTTTTTGCTTGTTGCCTCTCATGAACTATCAAATTTTCTATTATTTTTTTTTTCATATAGTTTGTATTTAAAATGTTATAAACTTGTGAGTTTTAATGGAAAATAGACTTTTAGGAAAAGATGCAATAGCTGAGGTTGTTGCTCTACATGTCGTTTTAGGACAAGATGCAGATGATCCATCCTAGTTAATGCGAAATAACATCAAAAGATTTAATTATTTGAGAATTCTGGCAATCTTGGCCATTTGATGGATCGGCACAGCTCTGCTAAATATTAATAGGAGAAATCAGAAGGATTTAGTATGCGTATGCATCCAAAAATAAAAGCCATGATTGGGCCAATGTATCTTCTTCTTCATCTGTAATGCATGGTAGATTTCAGGCGTCCAAATTCAGGCGTAGTTGCTTGTTTGTAGTATTTTCAGCTTTAGAGGGCGTAGGCGTAAAATATCCCTCAATCCAGCGTTCGAAACGCTGATCGCGGGCATCGAACCGCGATCAGCTTTTCTTCTAATTGAAAACAGGCTTATTTTATAAGTTGTGTAAACGTGCAAAACAAACGGTGTAGCGGCGTTTTCAAAAACGCCGCCGCACTTATAAGCTGCCCCAAACGGGCCCTTAGTTCTACATCGCTTCATGCATAAAGTTTATCCAGTGCAAAGGAATTTATGATTTATATTTGGATTCTCATCACTGACATAATTTTTTGGATTAAGGTATTCAATAATTGTAATATCCACATAAAGTACAATAATTATAATAGCCCCAATAAGTTATCCTGAGAATGTTCCTTCAATAGTTTTGAAGTTTTACCAAGTTATCCTAAGACCAGTTTGAAGCAAATGTACCCCCATCATAATTCTAGACAATCTCATATTGCATACTTAACCCAATCATATTTCTGTAATGAAACTTCATGCTTGTTGTTGTGTTATGAAATTTGTGATAGCTTGAGTTTTTCAGTAGGATAGAAAAATTGCAGGATGGGAAAAATTGCAGCTTCAAGAGAAACATCCCTTGTCTTTCAAGTAAAGCAAACTTTTATAATTTCAGTAACAATTTTTCTTCTTTATGTTAGAAGATGAAAGTGATATACATGTGAAAAGTATATCTTAAACCACAATCATTGATTGTTGCAATTCAACTCATTCTTGATGTTTTTTTCTTGCAATACCATGCCCTTATGTTTCCTTAATTAGGTTTTTTTATGCATTAGTAACTTTGAATTGCATACATTGAAGTATAGGGAAGGTGGCATGAGCGTAAAAAATGATGTTTTCTCTTGCATTTATTCTGATATGTTTTCTTATTATTTTCATTTTTTTTCAGATATTTGTCAGCTTAAAATAATCGACTAATGAATGCTATTTCAATGCTTTTAAGAAAGATGAGCTCCAGAAATTCAAAGATATCCCGTAGAATGCTATGCTACCGCGAACCAGAGACTTCCTTTCGGAAGCCACAGCAGACCCACAACTACGGTGGACACTTTTATAGATACTCCTGGAAGACTCGCAGAACAGTGTGACTTCTTTCGCTGGGCTGACGGTTAGGTCGATTCCACAACTGAAAGTGATCGCGAAATAATAACATTATTGGAAGATAGTTTAGGAGGTGACATCCATCGTCTTCATGTTAAAAAACAATATCATCATTAGTTTATTTGTAATTTTATTAATATTTATCTTTTTTTTTAGCACTTTTGATACTTACTACTAAATGAATTGTGTATTTGAATTTTTATTATATTTTGAAATGGATTTTAACTGAAAAATTGAGAAGCATCAGCTGCTCCAAACAAAACCTTAAATGCGAAGCATTAGGCCTAAGTAGCTTTCTCACGGTGGTGTAGACGACGCCAGAAAACCCACTTTTTAGAGTCCAAAAAGAAAACAAAAAAGGATCCTAAGAACCGCAGCGCACCATCTGATTTGATTTGGTTTCATCAGCACAAATTTGAGTTCAACAACGATGACCTCACGACGCACTGCCACCGCCTGTCCCTTCTCTCTTATCTTTGTTTCTTTTTCTATCCCGCCTCTCAGAGAAGGAAGTAGAAATGGACGGCCTTCTATGTGATGAGCTCCTTTATGAAATCATCCAACGCCTTCCTCCCTCCTCCTTCGCCGCTGTCTTTCTCGTCTGTAAGCGCTGGCTTTCCGCTATTCGTGCTTGCACCACCAACCTCTCGCTTTCCATCCCACATCTTTCCCTTCAACATCTTTCCCTTCCTTCACCCTCGCTTTCAAAGATCCTCTCCCACTACCCCAATCTCTCCTCTCTTACTATCCTATCCAACCCTTTCGACGACCACGGTGGATTTTTAACTTCCGATCCGGGGCCTCCCCCGCGGCGCCTGCCGCAATCGACGTTGCCGGCGATGATTTCTTTCTCGTCGTCTGATGCCCTTCTTCTCTCGGTAGCCGCCGCTCCTTGTGCGTCTCGCCTTATTCAGCTCCGATTCGTCTCTTTAACCTCCCCGGTCTCCTCCTCTGCACTGCTTTCTTCTTCAGCATCACTAAAGAATCTCACCAATCTCCGTCTCTCCATTATTTTTCCGCTCTCTTTTAGCTGGCTCTCCAGCTTCCCCTCCATTAAATCCCTTTCGTTCGTCTTCTTCCCCAAATCCCCTACTGTCCTTGGAGCGTGCGATGTAGAGGGCGAAGATAGTGTCGATCTTGCGGAAGACTATAAGAATTCATCAATTGTTACGCTTCCACTTGAGAGGCTTTCTATTTCTGGAGTCCGTGCAGGCGACTTGGGGATGTCGTGGATTTGGCAGCGTTGTGGAAACCTGCGTCGGCTCCGACTACGAGCATGTGAGGGTACCGGCGACGGGACCTCTTCCCCCTATTTCACTTTATGCCTCGCAAGCCTTCTCGTGCTAGAGCTCCGCGGCTGCCGCGCCATTGCGGACCGTGTCCTCCTCCGCGCCGCAGACCACTGCCACGATCTCACCTCATTACTTATCTACGACGGGGGCAGCAGCGACGCCCTTCACTACTTCATCAGCCGGCGTGCTGCAAGCCTCAATACCATCGATCTCCGTCTTCCCCTCGACCTCCACAACGACCACCTATCCGCAATCGCCTCTGTGGGGAAATCCAATTCCCCTTGTCTCACGACTCTCCGGCTCCAAAGTTGTTGCCTTGTGACAGGAGATGGGCTCCGTGCAGTTGGAAGGGCAGAATCTGGCAAGGCAATAGAGGAGCTGGCTCTGGTAAATTGTGACGTGTTAGAGAGAGAGCCAGGCCTGTTGAGTTTTCTTGGACAGAGTCTCCCGCGACTTCGAAGGCTAGACTTATCTTATAATGAAACATTGGGGGACAAGGAGTTAGTAGCGATGTTGAGCTCTTGTGCCAGCCTTGTGGATATTAAGCTGCGAGGCTGCAGCTGCCTCACGGACTCCTTAGTGGTTTGGCTGATCGAGTGCGGCAGGCTGAGGTTGGAGATCGCCGATCTGAGCAGGTGTCCTGGTATTAGTGTCCATGGCATTGAAATATTTATTCTTAATTCCTCCATACTGAGCTGTGTAAGCGTGGAGAATGAGAAGATCTCTGAGATTGCCATGGCTATGGCTTCACGCAGGAAAATCCAAATTGGCGATTGATTTAGAATTGGTCCAAAGCTTCCTATAAACGGCAACCCTCATTCATTCTTTTCTCACCTAGTTATGAAAGTATTAATTTGTCCTTCTGAAAAAGGGTTTATTGATTAAATAACTGTGTGAGTGCTACCTGTTTTTACTATTATAAAACTCGTCTTATTCCTACTCCTCAACCTCTTCATTTTTACCACTTTCAATGTCGAAGTAATCAGACTTCTGAACTTATGTCTTGGAAATGCTAGAAACTAGCCAATTGGTTGCTGTCAATGTAGTGATGGGTCATTGAAATTTATTTCATGATATGATTTTAATGTAACAGTATTTTATAGGAAATCGGAATTGGGAATGTGCTTAAAGTTATGTTAGTTTTACTGGAGTCTATTGTTTTGTTTTTATCTCTGGAAACTATGTTTCTAAACAAATCTATTTGTTGGGACTAGCTCAGAACTAATATATTCTTGTTATTCATTTAAGTAGACTTAATTTATTTGTTAGGGTGAAGTTCTTACCTGATTAATTGAGATTTATTTATTTTAATTAATTATTTTTTCTAGTTTCATTCACTTGTTAGGGACAAACTTGCTTGATTGCTTAGTATTAGCCTGAATTTTTCAAAGATAATTGCCATATTCCATTTCAGGAGCTGCACAGTTCTTTTGTTTTTGGGTGACGTACATATATTCTGCCAACAGCGTTTTTTTCCTTCCTAATTTTTTAAGTTGGTCACGTTCACATCTGTTTTTTTTTCATCTGTCATTATTATTATTATTATTATTATATGTTTTTTAAATCGATAACATCCAGTTTAAACTGGTATTATGTATCGGCTATCTTGATTTACTCAATTAACAAGTAGGCGATATCAATTAACTGGATATGGTGAATCCCAGGATAGCAGGAAAAAAATGGCCACTGAAGTCGGAGTTGAAGGTGCGAATGATCACTTGTTCATCCCCGCCACGCCCCATTCCTCATTTTTTAACTTTTTGTAATGGAATTGTTGTTCTGTAGTTTGGTTAATTATTGCAATCAAAATTGGGAGCAGTTTTTGTAGGATATTAGTTTGTAAACAAGCAGATCTGCATGTTGAATGACACTTTTTAATGAAAGATTGTAAAAATTAGTGATGGTACTCTAATTGATCATTAGATCAGCCAATTCAATGCCATGGAGGCAAGCCGAGAGCAATTGAATGTTGAGGAAGACTTTCAGTTGTTGTCGGTAGGTGTTGAGATGGAGGTGCTGATGTTTTTAGGACAACTACACATGAGCCATGAATCAACTGTAATAATGACATGGCCTAATGGTCCATGATTTCAGTGCAGATTGTTGCACCATTTCTCGTAATTTTCCCAATTGAAAGCCTGATTTTATGTATTAGTATTGGCACCATATTAGAGGCATTTCATCATTGACACCAGAGATCGAAGAGCTTGATGTCCTAATGATCTTGTGGCTGTTTTTTTTAGTCTTTTCATGTGATGTGTTTTTCTGAGTTCTATTTTTTTTTTAGATGACAAACTTGAAATTAGGAAGGGTCTTAGCATAAATTTAAAAGACTTTTAGGCTAACTTGGGAGGTCAATTTCTAGAGAGAATTTCTTATTTCTTAAAGGCGGTCTGGTACTTCTACCAATTCCCTTGTTGTTGTATTCTGAAGTGGCTCTCTAGTGGTGCTTTGGCCAATGTATTATGTTGTCTTAGAATTCCTGAAATATATCTTGCACAATTAAATTCTTTCTTCTGTTATTGTTTCCAATTTTCCATCCATCACATTTTTCTATTCTCTATTGCATTTATAGTTAGAATCCTTGTTATGTTCTTTCACCCTTTTTGAGGTTGTTTCCTGTCTCCGTATTGTGGCTCTTAGCTTTTGTACCATTTAGAGCAGTTCTTTTTTCTTGGGTTGCTCGCGCTGGAACCAAGAGCCCCTGTTATCCCGTCGTTAGGTCCCTTTGGGTGAGCAGTAGAAGATTGTTGATTCTCTTCTTGATCCCATTTCTTATAATTGAGAACAAATTTATGTCCTTGTATTCGTTTGCGATTCATTCTGCTCTCAAACATGCCGCCACAAAGAAGTGTTGCAAGATCAATTAAGAACTAGTTATGGAAGATTTACAACATGAAATCAGGCACCATAGAAGCGGCTTGCAATCTTGGAGCAAAGAAACATCGAGAATAGGATTGTGAACTCGACGTGGATGCGGTGGAGGAAGAAGGTGAAAGTCTTTTTCACGAAGAATCTTCTAGTGATAAGGCATGGCCCCTGCCTGAGTGGAGGGACAGACACCACATGGTTGTTGATTTTTGAATTTAGATCAACATTCTATATTTTGAAGGCCGACTAGATTCAAATGAATTTGTTAATTGGTTACATACGGTAGAAAGGATTCTTGAGTCTAAAGAAGTTCTAAAAGAACAAATTGTGAAGCTTGTAGCTCTTAAATTGAAGAAAAATGTATCTCTTTGGTGGGAAAACGTAAATAGATCACGATAACCGGAGGGTCATCCAAGATTATCATTTTGAACAAGATGTCAAAATAGTTATAACATAAATTCTTTCCAAAATACTGTCAACAAGAGTTCATTCTACCTCACCGCCTTCATCAACAAAAATTTTTCTGTGGAAGAATATGTTGTTGAATTCAAACAACTAGAGCTGAAATGTAACTTTTCCAAACTCGAAGAACACATAATTGCATGTTTCTTTGGTGGTCTACGACCATCTATAGTCATTGTGGTTCAACTCCTGCCTTCTTAACACTACAAGTTTGATTAGCTTGGCTATGAGGATAGAAAACAACAGAAATTGGTAGAAACACTCCAATGTGCATTCCTGTCATTGATTTGTGCAATTTCGGCAAACTGGTTCAAATTCAGATGTAGCTAGGGGAACGAAAGATTGAAAACAAGAAGGAGACTACTGCCATAGACATGGGAGGAACTTCGTCCAATTGAAGATGCTTTAAATTGAATGGGTTTAGCACATAGTTTCTAACTATCCAAATTGGCATGTCATTTCTTAGGTAGATGTTGCGGCCTTAACTTAAGTCCAGCTGTACTTGCCCTCTCGGGCCTTACGCAAGTGTACTATCGCTTTTGTAATATTGGACTTTTTAGTTCAAGTTATCAAACCCACAGGGAGAGAGTTGTTTAAGTTTAGGAAAAGTTCTAGCCTACTAAATATGTTCTTAGCTTGGATGTTAAATTGGTTTGAAGTTTTGTTGACTAGTCCTACTGAATTACAAACTATTCTTAAAGCTAAATTCCCTTACAATGATCTAAGTGGGGTGAAGGAAATGAAAAATGCAAATTATGAATGAGGCTAGTGACAAATATGATCAACTCTCTTCTTTACCATCTCAATAATGCATAAGGAAGTTTGATTAAATTGGTTTTAATTCCCTAAAATCCAATTTAAACCCATCAAAAATTATTTTCTTAACATTTGCATCTCGTTATAGTGTACTTGCTCCATACCATATAGTTCAATGTGAATAACCTAGTTGTTCTTCTATATCTCTCCCGAGTCATTATGACTCACAACACATTTTAACTGATCACTTGGCCAGAATGAAAGTTAAATGAAGACTTGAGGGTTACTCATCACATTAAAGATTTAAAAATAATTTTAAACACATTCCTTCAATTCTACACTACCTACTTAATCATAACAAGTAAAAAGTAAAAAGACTACATAGAAAACATTGAGAAACACTATAATGTATCTTTGAAAACAAATATATTCATTATAGAATTGTGTTTATTGAAATACAATAACAAGAGTACACATTACTTAGCTTTCTCCCTTTACAAAGTTCTGAGAATGCCTCCCCAAAGGATCTCCTAGTCTCCTTGCTACTATTCTGAACACTCTCCTTACAATTTAACTCAAATCCCTCACCAAACACCCAAGAAAACCTATCCTATTCCTTTCAATAGCCAACCCTACTTTACTTAACTAAAAGCCTCTTCTTCTTCCCCTAATGAGCTCTTTTATTGGGCTGAATAACTCCCAAGATTGTGTGGAAGAATTGTTGAAAACTACCTAGGCAGTTTCTTGCACCTAGGTGCCAGACTTTTTGTCTGTCAATTTTAACATGGGCGCCTAGGTGACAAAAGTCTAGCACCAAGGCACTGGTCAAGTTGCGTCTTGGCGCCCACTAGCGACAGCCTTTAAGGTTCCAAAGATGGGATTGGTGTTTAGGCGCCCAAGAAATCTGGCACATAGGCGCCCAAGAAATCTGGCGCCTAGGATCCCAAGAAATCCGGTGCCTAGGCGTCACTCACTTGTGCCTTCCATGGCTCCAATTCACCTCCACTTTGCTCCATATCTTCTCCACTTTGTTGCACTTCTAATACATTTTGTATCTGCAATAAAAAAACATAGAAATACATTTCCTTAAAGTACAATTTCATCCATAAACATGTGAAAAACATAAATGAATTTAAGTATTCTTTTCTACACATCAAAATCCCCAAAACTTAAAGTTTTCTTGTCCTCAAGTAACTGTAGAATATTAAAACCATTTTTTTTTATTTTAGGGAGTGGGTTTCATTAAAATTAGAAATAATTTTTGCCTCAAAAAATTCATAGGGTACATTTAGAATAACTCTATTAACAAGTCTAACACGAGTGTATACGAAAACCTTTCATTCAACTATGAAAACCTGATTTTCCATTTACTTTAAAAAGCAATTAATACATGTTAACTAAAGTACCTTAGATGGTGTAAAACAGAATTTGAGCTCTCTATTTGAAAGTACTTACTAATTTATCTTAAATACTAGTAGCTTAGGAATGTAATGCAACTTTAACTTTAAGAAAATTTTAGTGAAACAAATTTTTGATTAGGCTTCTCTTCAACCCTCTCCCCACTTAATATTTTTATGTAATCACTCTTTTTCTTGCTTTAGGATGTATGTTTCAATTCTTAACATAATTTTAGGAAGATTACTATATCTGGATAGACATTTAATAATTTTGAATTTCACTATCATCTTTTTAAAGTAAAACATGTTATATTCTTCTACTTTTAAACTTTTCAAAAGTTAATATACTAGTTGAAAATATGATTTTAATATGAGCTCAATTCTCCTAAAATGTATATTTAAGGATACATAGCTGAACAAATATATACCTCTTTTAAAAAATGAATAGAAAAATCATTTTTCTAATATTGAACTATAACTCAACTGAACATTAGTCTAGTCTCATTTACATAGAATTTTAAATAAAAGATACTATGTTTTTCCTTTTTCAAAAATTTCAGTAATTTCAAGTTGACACCACATACCTCAAATCTCTTTTAAAACACAACAGATTAAATATAGGTTACTGAGGACTAATAAATTTAAGCTTTTAAAAAGTT